ATCATTCAAATCATCATCGTTATCGGCATCATTAACATCATCATCATCATCATCATCATCATTATCAGCATCATCATCATTCATATCATCATCATCATCACCACCATTATCAGCATCATCATCATCCACATCATCATCATCGGTATGATCATCATAGTCATCATTATTCACATCACCATCATTATCACTATCAGCATCATCACTATCACTATCATCATCATCACCATCAGCATCACTAACATCATCATCATAGTCATCATCATCTTGTTTTCGCAGTAGCTTACTCTCTTTCGAATTCTTTTGGTCTGCATCTAAAAAAAACCACGTAAAATTAACTATTTAAACATTGTAAGTGAATGCACTTTTCTAGATTGTTTCAAGATTTTAAATTTACCTTCCATGGCATATTGAATCATTTCTTTTATGGATTGTAGATTTTTTCCCAGCAAGACAGGACCTGACTCGTCTTTTTCTTCATGATCAGAACCTATTGAATTTATAGGAAATTGTTTACAGTGAGGTCAATGGAATCGTTAACAGTTATCATTTTCAGAACTGTGTACGGTTGACTACATCAACCAAGGCCAACCCAACAAATTTTCATAAAGACTCATAACAAGTGAGTACTAAATATAAGTGTATATAGAATCTGCACAAATGTTCACATTTTCCCCTTTTAAAAAACTATATATGTTAMTGAATTGATGGTTTTCACGGTGGCCGTGTTAGAGGAACTTAACAAAAGAATTGCCAATGAATTCTTTTGTTATATCTTCCAACATGGCCACCGTGTCTTTTGTTATTTAATTCTCTTGGGAATGGTTAAAAACCATCAATAAATGTGCGTAAGAACAGAATTGAATACGAAACAGCAGTTTAAACTCCAGAATTCGTCGCCATCCTATAGCTTCCTATTATGCAGCGTTAAAACATGATTTTTGAAATTTCATTTAAAAGGGCCTTGTTTAATGCGTTGATGTAGTCGCATAAAAACATTCTAAGATGAAGCATAGAAAATACGTACACCGAGGGATCAGAATAAATCTTTTTTTCAATCGATTGGCTCAATCAAGGGATGATTTACAATATGCATTATTTTTAAGTGACAATAAAATTTGAAGTGTTCACGGTTCGAGTGTCCTCATTGTAGGAAAAGGAGGACTTCAACATTTTGTCATATAGTTGAAAGTAAACCCTGAGTTTGAGAAATAGCGTAAGTAAGGATGAGAAATAAAGGGAAATTTGTAAGTGCGAGAGAGCAAGGGAGAAAGGAAAAAGGAAAGGAAAAAAAGCAAAGCAAAGCAAAGCAAAGCAAAG